ACACACAGAGTTCTGGGAGGAATCCCTGGTGGTTCTACCAGGATCTGGACCTGTGTCGGTCACATCTTCTAGCCTGACTGCTCAGGGTTCTGCTGGACCAGAACGCCGAGACTTCTGGGACCCAGAACGGTTCATCAGACGACACAAACATCCTAAAGTCCTTTGATCCTTCTTGCTTCCCAGAACCAGCAGGTTCTGTTCAGGTTCCCAGAATTTGGGGCAGTGTTGGTTGATTCTGATAGGTTGGCTCATCATATTTGTTTTTCTGGTTCTGGTCATAATGTTCTGCCAGTTTATTCAAGCTCAACATAGAGCTAATGAGGAGAGCTGCAGGGTTCTGGTTCTGGCCCTGGACCCGGGTGGTCGGGTTAAATGAAGCAGAACCGCTGAGTCATGTCTGCAGGTGGACTCTCCTCGCTCTGCTGCAGATCATCTTAATGTTTCTGATGTTTGACTGACCTCTAGTGATCCTTGACCTCTGGTGACCCCTGACCTCTGGTGACCTGCCGAATGTCTCGTTATGGGGGGTTTCCTGAACCCCCCATAACGAGACATTATTATGTCTAACCCTAACCCTAACCCTAACCCTGAGCTGGCCTGAGTCTGGCCAGCTCAGGGTTCTGGATCTCTGAAGGCAGCCATCTTGTCTCCTCAGGACATGGCTCTGGAGGACGGAGTGTGACGCATCGCTGGGCGTGAAGAGTCCTCAGCATCAGGACCAGCAGCAGAAAGCGGACGGCCCACCGCAGCTACAGCCAGGTAGAACCAGGGCTGGTTCAGCGTGGAGCGTCAGCCGGGTCACGTGATCAACACTTTCTGTTGTATTTTTCAGATGGAGCCTAATGTGGCTGAGAAACGCCATCGTACCCGGTCCAAAGGAGTTCGAGGTACGACAACCGACTGATCAATCTGGATAATATCCAAACCTAGACCCTAACACCATGATCTGCCTCCAGTCCAACCAGTACCAGTACCAGACCCAGTAAAGATCCATTACCAGTCCCAGTACCACTCCCAGTAAAGACTAAGTACCAGACTTTAACTTAAAAAGAACTTGTTTGATTTTCCCTCACAGATTAAAATTTTTAAGGTAAATGTCTTCCTGTTATTTAGCTGCCACTTCCTGTTTCTGAGTTGGTACTTCCTGTTACTTAGCCGTTACTTCCTGTTACTTAGCCGTTACTTCCTGTTACTGAGTTGGTACTTCCTGTTACTTAGCCGTTACTTCCTGTTATTGCATTACTTTCTGTTACTTAGCCTTTACTTCCTGTTACTTAGCCGTTACTTCCTGTTACTTAGCCGTTACTTCCTGTTACTGAGTCGGTACTTCCTGTTACTTAGCCTTTACTATCTGTTACTTAGCCTTTACTTCCTGTTACTTAGCCATTAGTTCCTCCGTTGTGAACATGGGACATTTTTCAGTTCCTCTTCCTGAATCTCTGTTTCTGTCTGAAGCCGCGGTGGAAGCAGTGACTCAGGAGTTGTTCAGGTAAGGAAACGTCTGCAGATCTTCATCACTCTTCTTCATTGGTGTACTCCTGCAGATGTTTCTGGTCCAGGTGTTTCCAGACTCTGGTCCAGATCCAGATGTCGCTGCTGTGTTGTGACGCTCTGTTTCTCCTCAGCTGTCCGACCCCTGGATGTGACGGCAGCGGCCATGTCAGTGGGAAGTATGCCAGACACCGCAGGTATGATCTGTCCTCCATCACTTTCATCATCATCATGGCTCAGTCTGATCCAGAGGTTTTCTTCTGGTGGTCTGGTTGTTAACTCAGTTTCTAGCTGGAAAAGATCTGTCAGTTGGTGATGGTGCCTGTGTAGCTGGAGGTGTTCAGGCTGAAGCAGCGTTTTACCAGGCTCTCCATGTTCCTGGTGAAGCAGCAGGTGGAGCAGGCCTCTCAGATGAAGTCAGGAATGTTTCTGCTGAGCAGCAGCTCTGGGCAGGAAGTTCATCCTGCAGGTAGTCTTTCTTTCTTCCTGTTGTGGATCTGGAAGCTTCGCCCTGATAGGTTGGTCTGACATCAGCAGCCGCTCTGGGTTTGAGCAGTGACAGGAGCTGGAGGAGGCGTTCAGGGGCTTCAGGACAACAAAGCTTTCAGAGATGATGAAGGTCAGGAAGTTCAGATGGCGAAACATTTCACTGCTTAGGTAACGAGGAAGACTTTGCTGATGAAGATCAGGAAATAAAGAGTCTTTAAACTGCTGCTTGGTGAGAGAAGCTAACTGAGGGTTAGACAGGCTGGACNGAATGACATTCAGGTTAGATGGATCACAGGTCACATTTGGAAAGCTCAGATACAGATCGGAAATGCAAGTGGCCTGGGTCGCGTTAAAAAATCTGATCAGACATGAACTGGAGTGGAACTGGGCTTCCACAGTAGAACCCTTTCGGCTTGCCGCCTGGTGTTTCTGCCAACAGGAACACCAGGCCGTGAACACCAACCTGTGGCCACAGAACCACCATCAGTAACAGAACCTCCTGGACACATCAAGTTCTGCTGGGGGTGAATTCAGGAAGCGAGTGATGGGAAGAAGTGTTCAGTGAGCTTTATTCCTGAACTGATATGAAAATAATAGCAGTAGCGCTTCGGCTTAGCGCCGCCCCCTACAGGCCAAGCGGCTCGCTCTCTGCTGCTGACGGTGGACTGATGGAGCCCAGAGGCGACACGGCCCAGTCCGGACCGGAACCGCTGGAGGCTGCAGAGAAGAAGACAACATGGTGTTAGCGTTAGCTAACACCAACCGGACCAGAACCGGACCTCCAGGTCTCACCTGGTTGGCTGGGCTGCAGGCTTTTGGTGCTGAGAGACGGGGGCGTGGCCAGAGGGCTAGGCTCTGCCTCGGGAGACACAGCAGGGGTTTTGGGGGTGTTCCTGGTCCTCTCCTTCAGTTTACCTGCAGCCATCAGAGAGAGAGCTCTAAACTATGAACCGGAGCTGGGTCCAGAAAGACCGGAGCTGGGTCCAGACTTGGTAGAACCCACCGTCTCTGGAGACGATGTTGGGCAGCTTGGTTTCTGGGCTCTTCAGCTGGTCGACGTTGAAGCGTCCTTTGTAGATCCGTCCGTCTCGTCCGATGATGTCGGCTTCCTGGAACCCAGAGGTCAAAGGTCGCTCAGGTGGCAGTCTGGGTAGGACTGTTACTTTCTGTTTGTAAGAAACTTTTGTTCCTGCCTTTATGGGGGAAAATTAGCTTTTTTTGGACAGCCGTTCCTTCTTGCTTTGGGGTCTGTGTAGCTGGACTGACTTTTGCCGAAACTTTTTTTTCCTTGCTCTGTTGCCATGATGTGTAACCATAGCAACAGGGAGGTGTTCAGTCAGTCTTTGCTCCCTTGATGGTGGAGCTACTGGATAGTAGCCACAGCTGCCCTGGGGCAGTCTGACAGAGGCCAGGCTGCCATGCGCCAGCGCCCCCTGCTGGCACCCTTCTTGGGGCAAATTATCTACCTCAAAGCTTCGTTAAATTATGTTTTGTTATTTAGCGCACCACTTCCGCCTCTGAGTTGTTGCCAAGTGGTAGCAGCAGAATGTCCAATTTTCAAGTTCAGTCCGACTTGTCAT